CCATGTGTGAAGGATTTCAAATAATCCAGACTTCAGTAGACTTGTGTAACTTGTTGAGATTTCTCACAATTTTCAATGAGAATTTCTAAGCCACTGGTAAAACACTTTTCTATTGCTTTGATTGTATTTTGTGAATCTGTTAATATTGTGCATATTTAAGAGGGAGATGGCCTCATTGATAGCAGTGAGTTCAGCCTCAAAAATTGAAGTGCCAGTTGGGTTGGTATGTGGTATTTCTTGTGATTGTTCAGAAGGTATAAAATATACTCCACTTCCAGAACCTCCACCTTTTAGGAAGGAGACATCCATATAGATAATAATTTCCAGAAATCTTCTCCAGGTTAATATTTATTATCAGGATAGTTCTGTTTCTGTTTTTAATTATTTATTATTATTTAAAAAATTTTAAACACAAGTGCCAGTAGTGCATATTTACTCCTAGATATTTAGGGTTTTAGTATAAGGTGTAGTCTCATTATTAAGTTTCTTTTAGAATTCCAGGAACATAGGTGGTTGTTGGTTGTGAAAAATGCAGACATAGATTTACTTGGATTGATTGTTAGTTTTTATTTATTTGAATATTTGGAAAATTTATTTAAAGCTTTGTTGACACATACTTGTCTTTTGTTTGGGTCCATATTGTTATATCATCAGCATAGGTTGCAGTTTTAATGTCTTTAGGGAGTTTGTTGTGAATATCATTTAGATAAATTAAAAAGAAGATGGGGATAAGAACACCTACCCTGAGGAATTCCCTGGTAAAGTGGATAAGTTTTGGAAAGAGTATTATTAAAATTAATTTGTACTTTCATTTTTCTTATGTTTATGGCATCTGAGATCCAACACAGCATCTTTCCACTGATTCCTGCTTGGTGTAAAAGGGTGGTAAGGTTTATTTTTCCATGTTTTGTCAGATGCATTACTTAGATCAATGAAAATAGCCATACTGGATTTGGTAGGATACTTGTTGAAGTTATCAGTTATGTCCTGTGAGAAGTAGAAACACTTTGTCCTCACAGTTGTGTTCTTTCCTATATGCTGCTGCTGATTAGATAGTTTTTGATTCTTGTAGAGATATTAATATAGCTATTTGAAATAATTTTGTCCATACTTTTGCAGAAAACTAAAATGAGGGAAGTGGGCCTGTAGCTTGAAGGTTCATTCATTGGCTTGCTAGGTTTATGAATTAGAACAGTATGTGCCAATTTCCAGTTTCAGTCAGTTTATACCTTTTCCAACTGTTATTCATAAGTAGTATTTCTTTTGCATATGGTGTTAGGTTCAGTGACATTTTCCCATGTATGTTATTTGGTCCAGGTGATGTAGATGGGTGGTTATTTTTAATTGCATCTTCCAGTTCATGAAAAAAAGAAAATATTTGTTGAATATGTTATTTTTCTGCTGTGATTTTGCTTTGTTTGATATGATCCTGCTTTATATTTAATAGTTTTATCTGCAGTAGGATTGAATCCTAGTTATTCGAGAAGTAACTTGTGAAAAGGTTATTAATTTTCTTGTCAGTGGTTGGGCAGTTGCTGTTTCTAAAAGTATTTGAACCATTGTGTGTACTTTTTGCTTATTTAAGATTTTTAGGATCTTCAGTAGTTTCATATTATTTGATCTTGGGTCAAGTTGAAAGTATACATTTCTCCATTAATTTCTTTTATGTTTAACATATGCAAGTTTAATTTCTGCTGTGGTTCTCTTGTATTCATATCTTATTTTGGGTATGTTTTCTTCTTGTAGTAAATTATAAAGCTTCTCTCTTTTATTTATTGATTCATCCAGATTGTCATTGATTTGGTTATAGCCTGGCATCCAGTTTTTCTGATTCTTTTAAGTATATTATGTTTAGCAGCTTTCAATATTGAGTTTTTCAGTTGTTCCAATCATTTTTAATGTCTTCTGTATCATTGGTCATTTGTAAAAATACATCAACTTGAGTTTTGAAGAGCTCCCAATTGACTTTATTGAAATTCCAGTAGTATATTTTTGTCTGTTAATTAGAGTTTTTAAAATTGGACTTTAAAGTGATTAAGATAGAGAGATAATCACTTCCAATACCTTGTTGAGTGTTCCACTTGACTTTATTGCCTACATGTGGAGAGATTATGGTCTATCATGAGCCTTTAGGGTTCCATATGTGAAGGAGCAGTGTGTGAGGCTACCATCATTTATGATTATTGGTCCTAAGTTGCCAAGGTAATTACTGAGGAATATTCCTTTGGAATCAGTTATGCTACATCCCAATAAGATGTGTTTATTACGAGGGTCTCCAAGGTTTTTGTCAATGAGATGGGTTATATTATTCAGGTTTGGTCCAGGATTGCTTGGGGTTGGTAGATATTGAAGATTTTTGATGAAGATGTTTGAATTTCACTTAAGTGTACTAGGATTCCTTGAATTTGTATATGATTGTCTCTTGAAGGTGGAATATCTATTGTTTGAAAGGAATGGTTTTTGATAAGAAAGGCTAGACCACCTCCAACAGTGACAGATTCTTTATAGTTCCTGATTATGTGATAGTTTTGAGATTAATTTCATTGCCCTGGCCAAGCTTTGTTTTTTGGAAGCAGATGATATTGCTTTCTTTAATATTTGCTAAATTGATTAATTCAGCAAGCTTTGATTTGGAGTTATTTGTAAAGGTGACATTATGTTGCAATGAAGTACAGTACTGTGCAAAAGTGTCAGGACAAGAGAATATTTTGTCATTATTTCTATTTTATGGGGTTAATTGTACCATGCCATTACAGAATGTAAATTTCAACACTATAGTAATGCTTCACTGATCCATGTTGACAATTTAATGAGCCACGGTGAGAATAGTTATCATTCTCTAGAATTACCATATACTTGTACCAAAGACATGTCATAAGGGTTCTGCTTGAATGAACATACTGATCACATTTATGGTCTGAAATAACTGTCATGGTACCCCATGCAGTGTCTTAGCTATATAGAAAGAAGCTAGCAAGGAGCTAGTGTATGGTTCTGGTATATACTAGAATAAATCAATTTAATAGCACTCCACAAATAAACCTTGATAAAGACAGTGCTTAACACTATATATTAAATTTTGTTGTCATGCCACAGCCCAAAAAGTGCAGAAAATTGTCAGTAGAGCAGAGAGTTCGCATAACAGCTTAACATGATGCTGGTTGGACTCTCCTACAAATTGCTGCAGACTTGAAATGCTCCCCAAATGCTGTCAAGTACACCCTAGATCGTGAGACTGAGACAGGTAAATTTGAAAATAGGAAAGGAAGAGGCAGAACATCTAAAGTCAATGATACTGATGTTAAGTACATTCGTTTATGCAGCCTTCGGAACAGAAAGAAGACTGCCACTGATCTCAAGCATGACATTAATGACCATGTATCAAATGACAGAAAAGTGTCCAGATCTACAGTATCAAGAAGACTCAACGAGAATGGAATATTTGGTCGTGTAGCAGTTGAAAAAAAACCTTTAACTCAATCACCAAATATTGTCAAGAGACTGAAATTTGCTAAAAAGTACAAAGATAAGACTGTTCATGATTAGAAAAGGGTGTTATGGACGGATGAGTCCATGTTTGAAATATTTGTTTCAAAGCATAGGTTCTACATCTGGCAGAAGAAAGGTGAAAGATACCTCAATACATAAGCACCTACCATGAAGCATGGGGGAGGCAGTGTGATGATCTGGGGGG